CTCTCCCACTCCCCCTGCTTGTGTTCCCTCTCTCGCTGTGTCTCTCTCTGTCAAATAAATAAATAAAATCTTTAAAAAAAAAAAAAAAGATAATCATTGTTCTTCCCTCTGTACTGTATTATTGTCATTTAAATTAAAAAATACATATATTGTTGAAAACCTACTATGTGCCACATTGTTTTGTCATTTTGACAAATACTCTTGCTCTCACCCTTGTATTGCGTAGTATCTGTATACATATGTTGAAACTATGTTCCTTATGTTTTCAAATTACTGAATGAAGCAAAGTAACTCTAAAAATTTAGATTTGTTGAGATGATAAATAATCACGAGAGCTATTAATTTAGGGGCACCTGGGTGGCTTAGTTGGTTAAGTGTCCTACTCTTGATTTCAGCTCAGGTCTTGATCTCAGGGTTGTGAGTTCAAGCCCTGCGTTGGGCTCCACACCCAGTGTAGAGCCTAATTAAATTTAAAAAAATGTGGGGGGGGGGCACCTGGGTGGCTCAGTTGGTTAAGCATCCCACTCTTGGTCTCAGCTTAGGTCTTGATCTCAGGGTCGTGGGTTCGGGCCCCACATTGGGTTCCGTGCTGGGCATGGAGCCTTCTTAAAAAAATAAAAAAAGAGCTATTGATTTGGAAAATTATGCTTATAGATAGTAAGCTTAAAAATATATGAGAGTTTAAAATTAGGATTTTTAGGGGATTCTGTTTTTTCAATAGTTTTTCTTCCCTAAAATCTTTAATAATCTGTTTTGAACATTTTTCCTGTCATAAGCATAAGTAGGGTGCCAGTTGAAAAAACTAATTGTCTATAATTTGCTTTGTAAAAAGTTACTAATTTTCTTAGAGAAAGGTTAAATTCTCTCTTGAGTGCTCTCACTACCTTTTATGTCTACCAATATACTTACCATTTTGCTTTATAATTATCTTTTTATATCATTATATTCTTCTACACCATGACTTCCTTAAAGCAGATAATGTATATAACTCATTTTTATATATATTCTTAAAACCTAACACAGTGTTTGATGCCTAAGCGGTGACCAATGAATGCTTGCTAAGTGAAGAAAGGGAAAATAGGGGGTAGGAAGTTTTTCACATAATTGAATCAAAACACGCATGTAAAGTTATTACTTGAATTTAAATGGTTGTTGAGCAGGAAGTAAATAATCTTGCATCTTTTTAACCAATTGTTTAAAATAGTGAACTTTAAGGAAAAGAAAAAAGAATCTCCTAAGAGAAGAGGTTAAAACTCATATTGTATATATTGTTATGATAACTTGTCTACATTTCAGCTACATTTGGAAATATTTACCATAAAGGATGATTTATTTTTGGCCTTTTTCAATAGGAGGTAACAAATCTCAAGGATGCGAAACAGCTTTTGATTCAGCAGAAATTAGAGCTTCAAGGGAAAGTAGATTCCTTGAAGGCAACCCTTGAACAGGAGAAGAGAAACCAGCAAATGCTAAAAGAGCAGGTGAAAAAGGAAGAAGATGAGCTGAAGAAAGAATTTACTGAGAAGGAAGCTAAACTGGTCAGTAAGTTAATGGTGGGGAATGTGTTTTGTGATTGATTGTGTATGTCAATCCAATAAGAAAGGATTTTTCTACTTAGAAGTTAGGATTTAAATGCTCTTACCTAGCATTTTAATTTTTGATTGAGGAAAGAGATCTGATTTGTTTAAATAGCTGATATGTACTTGGAAATATTTTAGTCTTGAATTATATTTTGGTTTATATAAGTGAAAATTCAATAAAACATAATTCAAAAAAAACCCAACACTTTTAGTGCCAGAAAAACAAATCCACAACTATGTAGGTTGAGGTAAATGGCGTGAATGCTAATGATGTTAAACTCATTTGTTTTAGTCAAAGTGAACGTTGATAAGGGAGAACGGAAACTTCAGTTTGGAATTTTGATGACCAAAGTCTACTTTTCCTTCCCTAAATTGTACATGCCAAAATGGGAAGCATCTGGCTTTCCTCTGTTGAATTAAATCCAAATAGTCCCACATAACTTGAGTGCTGTATGTTTTAGTTGAAGATTTGCAATTTCACGTTCACACAGTGATTTGAAGGGTTTGTATTTTTTTTGTTTGTTTTTTGTTTTTGTTTTGTTCAGTTTTTGGCAGGTTGATAGAGAAAAAGATGCATGTGGATTTTGAGACGGAAAATGCCAGCTTTGTGTCCAGGACACCTTGCTATCCCTAACTATGTGTTGTTCCCCTGCTCTAGTGAGAAAAGGAAAATCTCACATTGCTTTATGTTAATTGGTGTTATAAGAAGCTTGGTGACCATCATTTCAGCATAGTAGCCTTTGAGCCAGTTCAGATTACACAGATGTTTTTGGAATCAATTTTATTAGTGTAAAATGAAATACATTCTCCTGCCTTCTTTCCCGAAGAAGTAATATTATTTATGTTGCCAATACTTTAAATTCAATAGCTAATTAAATTTATTTTGCATTACTTTTGTAATAGGTTTTTTCCTCACTGTTCTTCCTTTTCTCAGCATTCTGAAATAAAAGAAAAAGAAATAGGAATGAAGAAGCATGAAGAAAATGAAGCTAAACTTACCATGCAGATTACAGCATTAAATGAAAACTTAGGCACTGTGAAGAAGGAGTGGCAGTCCAGTCAGCGGAGAGTCAGTGAGCTCGAGAAACAGACGGATGACTTACGGGGTGAAATTGCAGTATTAGAAGCCACAGTTCAGAATCATCAGGATGAAAGGAGAGCACTACTAGAAAGGTGATTGATGTCTAGTCAAATCAGTTTATTTCTATTCTAAGTGACGAAAAGATGTTTTTTTTAAAATAGAAGTCTTGAGAAAAATGTGTGGGTCCTATAGGTATTTATGTAACCATTTAAAAACTAACTCTTAAAATAATCAGATAGTTGAAATTCATGTATTATATTTGAAGTTACTGAAGTAGTTTATTATCTATGTTCTAGAAGGATCTTTATCATTAAAAAAAAAATAATGTCTTTGCAATCTATTCTAGATGTCTTAAAGGAGAAGGTGAAATAGAAAAGCTTCAAACCAAAGTCCTAGAATTGCAGAGAAAGCTGGATAATACCACTGCAGCAGTGCAGGAGCTGGGCAGAGAAAATCAGTCCCTTCAAGTAGGTCATCTGGTAACGTGAGGCTGCTTTTCAGTCCAGAATTAACTTTTAGTGAAAAGCATATTTTCAATCTTTAAAAATATCTCCAATATTTAATAAATACTTTTGAATGGTGACTTTCTGTGTAGCGGTATTGTAGGTGTTATGGGTAGTTATGTAAAAGCGATACAGAATTTGTCTGAGAGACCCCTGGGATTAGTTAGAAAGCCCTGTCATTCATGAATTGTCAGTACTGGGAAAATTCAGAAGCACCAAGGAATAGTTGAGTCACTATTTGTAAAAGAAGTGATCGGCTTGGTGCCCAGAAAGGATTCATCATTAAGGTTGGAATGGATAGGAAATCACTAAAGATTAGAAATGACCAATGTCTTTGAGGACTAAAATTTGATTTATTTATTTTTGTCATTCAGACTTAAGAATGTAGCAACTTTTGACAGTGGAAAATGACCAAAGTATTTCTAATTTTTAAAGTTTTAGCCCATGGTGCTTATAAGTCAAAATTTTATAAAACTTGGGCACCAAATTAGAAATTACGCATCGTTCTTCAAAATGTTGAATATTATAATGCATGGGCACTTGTTTTTTTTTTTAAACAGATCAAACACACGCAAGCGTTAAATAGGAAATGGGCTGAAGACAATGAAGTACAAAACTGTATGGCCTGTGGGAAAGGCTTTTCAGTAACAGTGAGACGGGTAAATGATTTTGTTCATATTGCCGTGGTTCTGGATTTTATTTCTCAGTATCAATGAATGTTTTAACCATGAACAGAATCTTGCATTTGACAGATTAAAAACATTTTCTATTTATTGAAACTTTACAGCTGTATAGAATCATTAAATTTTATGCAGTCTAGTTTCTGGTCAGCGTATGTGTTTGAGTTTTAGTTTTAAATTTAGTCGTTGCCTTCCTGTTGAGTCGCTCTCTGGAATAATCATTTTCTGAACCAGTGGGCCAGTATTAAACTCATGTTTTAGTCATCATTGGGTTCTTTTAAAAAAAAGTAGAGATTAAAAAAAAATTTATTCTAAATAATACCATGTGATCTTTCAGGTTTATATTCCTATTGACGAAATTATGCCTGAAACACTTGGCAAATAGGAATGGTTTTCACCTGGTAGAATGAGGTGTTTTATTATCACTTTTTAGATGCCTCTTAAGGTTCTTTTGAGAATTCCATGATAAATTCCATATAAAATGTTTAGCATAGTATTTAGTAAATAGGGATTAACTAAGGGATTAAATTGATGTATTGAAATATTATATTATTAAATAATACACTGATCACTTGAAAGTTAGTATACCTTCACAGTGCAGTCTGCAGTATTCTTCTAGTCTCATAATGCTTTTGTTATTGTTTTTATGCTTGAAATTGTTTAATTTTTCTCATTTACAGCATCACTGCAGACAGTGTGGAAATATCTTCTGTGCTGAGTGTTCAGCCAAAAATGCCTTAACTCCTTCTTCCAAGAAGCCTGTTCGTGTCTGTGATGCATGTTTCAATGACTTGCAAGGATAATGGGTTACCACAACGTTGGAGTAGTATTACACTAACATTAGATTTTTAATAAATGCACTTAATAGAGGTCTTGGACTACTATTTGATTTGGACAGTGGTTGCAATATTAGACCAACTTAGAATTCATATATTTTGGAATGTTATCAATATCAAGTAAAACTCTTCTATTTTTGTGAGACTTGGGCTCATCTTTCATTACTTTTTTCCATTTAACCCCTGGAACAGCTTTCATGCCAAGTTTAGAATTAGCCAATGAAATGTAAATAAACTTTGGACAGAAAATAGCAATGTATTTTTTTAAATATTATTTCATTGTTCACAAATGACATGAATACACTTCCATAGCTTACTTCTTTCTCCCAAATTTAGTATACAAAAATGTACATGGGTGATATATGTTGCACAGTAGCACATTAATTATATTAAATGCGCTTCGTGAAGTCATGCACAGAACTATAAAACTTTTTTTCCTTATATATAGGTCCATAGCTCAATTGCATTGTTATGTTACAAATTTACTGCTCAAGTGTTCTAAATACAGTTTATGTTGAAATGTGTATTAATCATGAATTTGAACATGGTTTTTGTTTTAACAATATTGATTAAATTCTCTTGGGTAGATTTTATGAAAACCTCTGTAAAATCAGTTTGCTCACTTTATGGTTATCCTGGGGTTGTATTTTAAAGATTAGGGTTAATTTTTCTTTTTCTTTGTCTTTTTCTATCTCATTTTTAAACTCTCACATATTCTCAATTAAGAATTCTATAAAACTTCTCACCCTCACCCCCAGATGGAGGATGAATAATAGAAATTGTATAATGGTTCTAGTCTCAATTTCTTGCAAGTGGGAAGTTTTCTGAGATTAGCCTTTATATTATACCCTCATATTGTCTCTCCTGCATCTTTGGGAATCTGAGTTTGCTTTTTTAATGGATCTGTTTTTTCCCTTTTTTTGACTTAACCTGTCCAAGCATAGCTCAGCTTCACTATTGTTTTATTATTTTGCATCTTAAAGCCAGTAACTGATATCGCTCTAGTCTTATCTGTGAAAATAAATACAAACAGTAAGGAGACATTAAATAGTCTACTTTATATTTTCTTCTTACCTAATAGGGAAACATTTTTGAAAGTTGTGAACTTGACTTAAATTTAAAATAGTTGTGAATTTGGGGTTCCATATCAGCTGGTAAATCTTTTTACTTCGCAAAAATACTGATACGAAATTACTTTGAAGTAACAGCTGGAGAGGAGAATACCGCCAAAAACAAATGTATTTGGGAATCCCAAAGTTATTATCAGAACTGAAAATGGAATGGCTAATTAAGGATAATTAAAAGTTAGCTTATTTGTTTGCTGAACAATGGAATTGAACTTTAATTTATCATGGTCTTATTAATTTGGCAAATTGGAAAACATCTGTAGAGAGGTCATTAATATTGGTTTATTCTTTCTAGAGAAAAAAATATAAGGTTATCCATTTGTGCAGTGTAATCATTTGGTAATAGTAGCAGGGAAGGATGGGACTTAATATTTCATTTGCAATGGTTTATCATACACACTTGCTTTCAGATATCATGCTGAAATAAAGTTATGTTTATGCTTTACCTGTAACATCTATGAACTAAAAGAGATTGTCGTATATTCATTTAATTATTTAAAAAAACCCATTTAAGAAAAATCCTGTTGTCAGTAGCTATTAAGGACCCTGATTGAGTCCCTCGATTTAGATAAACATATATCCTTGAGCTTGTATAAAGAAGAACTACAGTGATTCTTTATTAAAAATAATAGTTGGATAATATAAATTGAGCTAAAATTATTTAAGCGTTTTCATATACTCTTCAAATACATTTAATTCTATACTTTAACACATAAGAAACTTAGTGTGAAACTTAGAAACTTTCTACGTTGGAAAAATAGATATTCATAGCACCATATTTTTTTTTTTCTTTTTTAAAGATCATAAAACTTCATGAGGATTCTAGATTCGAATATTTGTTCACTTCATTTCCTAATTGGGTTCCCTGAAGGCCTTTTCCTGTCTTGTCCCCCTACCCACAGATTCCCCCCAAATTGTGGGGAGGACAACAAATAAAATCATATGTGTTTGAGTCATTTTCTAGTTTTCATCTAGCTGATCTCATTTCATAGATCCTGAACAATTTACCATAGGCTACTATACTAATCATATTAGACATGAAACTTTTTTTTTTTTTTTGCTTATTAACTCTCACTAATTTAAGGTGTTTTGGAAACAGAAAGGATTTTCTTTTTCTTTTAATTAAAAAGCCATCTTCTGAGTTCTTACTGTCTCTACATTTTAGGTGTTTGCTGGTATTATTTGTCAGTGAATTGTAACTGGCATGTCTGAGCTCTTGGCTCTACTGCAAAGTCTGTTGGCATCACGTGTTAGTAAATTCCAAACCCCAGCACAGAAATGTGAATTCAAATCTTGCTGGGTTAGTGTACAGTAAACTATACCTACAGATTTTCTTTACTAGGAAGAAGACAAAGCTGCTGGTAAAGGATTAGCTCATTTTGAAGAAAAAAGAGGGAAACAAACACAAAGACCTCAATGCAGTGTACAAATAACATTTTGTTCAACTACCTCTTAATGTGGAATTAGCTAGTTTAATAGTTTCCTCACAGTAATGTTAAATAGTAACTGCCAAATTTGTTAGTTTCCCATCTGTCTTAGAAAGGCTTTAAGATTATTTTATAGTTTTGAGAACTTGGAAGCCACTTTTTTTTTTAACTTTGCATTTGCATAAAAATGTTTAGCTTTTAAGTGGAGAGCAGATTATGATCATATATTTTGATATTCAAGACCTGTTTGACTATAGCAATTTTTTTTTAATGCACTTTGGCTATAAAACCATGGATGATTTGATCCATAAGATTTAAATGTGCCATCAATTTAGTATTCCTAGACATGAACTTGATGAATGGTATTCTGTAATTATAATGTGCCACACATCGTGTCTTAATCGCCCTTTGCCTGAATTTTAATGATCAATTTGTTATTGTTGCAGATGTGAATATTGTGCATAAACTTACTAAATTTATGTAAAATTGTATAAAAAAGAATTGGAAATAGGTAAGTTCTGTGTAGAAGTAATGAATTTATTGTAACATGATGCAGTTATGTATATGACATTCTGTACTTCTTTGAACTGGATCATATATTCATAGTTTCTATAGAAACTTTTGCATGAATATTTTCTCATTTAGGTTTTGGATTCATTATTTGTATTGTGTTTACTACTTGTGATCATGTAGTTGTGCCTTATTTTGTGAGAGAGTTTAGCTCAGTAAATACTGTAATTTCTAAACTCAGTGAGTGGATGGTTATTGATTATAAATGTAACTGATAAATTACACAACAGCATTTAAATCTGTATAAAGAACAATGGAAGGATCCTTATTGAATTGTTGCTTTTGTTTTTTTTTTTAATTTGTTAAAGATGATATTAAAAAACCATTTCTTTCTAGTAGATGTATTCTGTGACTGTAAATTATTTTGCCTATTTAAAAAAAGAGTACAAAATAGTAACCATTTTGTATATATTTACAGAATGTTACAACTTTCTACTTGGATGTAGATGGGGTAAGCTTTGATGTTTAACTTAGAATAGTAATTAAGTTCATAATATCAAGAGAAATTACTAAAGCCATTTTGCTTAAGACATTCCCTTTTCATTCCATTCATTATTGTGGAAAATTAACAACTACAAAGAAATATTAAACAATATTGAAGTAATTCCTTCTTTCATTGTATCTAAGTTTAGTACCCAGGTGAGCATTTATTTATTTATTTATTTTTAAAATTTTATTATGTTATGTTAGTCACCATACATCACATCATTAGTTTTTGTTGTGGTGATCCATGATCCATTTTTTTCGTATAACACCCAGGGCTCCATGCAGTACGTGCCCTCCTTAATACCCATCACTGGGCTATCCCATCCCCCCACTCCCTTCCCCTCTAAAACCCTGTTTGTTTCTCAGGTGAGCATTTAAGGATACTTTTCTGATGGCTCAGTAAGCCATCGTTTTTTACTGTGTTTTTCCTGGGAACCAAAGTTCCTGAAGTGTTTTTTCATTTTACTCTAATGTGTGCTTGCTTCTGAAGGGTTTAATGTGAATATCCTTAAGGACTTACTAGATTATATATTAGATATGTTCTTTTATGAGCTTTATAGAATTTCAGTTTAAATATATAGCGTATTCTTTTTTAAATTTTATTGTGGTAAGGACGCTTAACAGCTTTTTAAGTGTATAGTACAGCAGACCTCTAAAGCCTCCTCATCTCACTTAACTGAAATTTTATGCCATTGCTTGGTAACTCCCCATTTCCCCCTCTCTTGGAAACCACTGTTCTACTCTGATTCTATGAATTTGACTACTTTCAATTACCTCATGTCAGTGGAATCATACAATTTGTCTTTCTGTGACTGGCTTATTTCCCTTAGCATAATGTCCAAGGTTCATCTATATTATAGCAAATTGCAGAATTTTCTTCTTTCTAAAGGTTGAAACAGTATTCCATTGTATGTATGTACCACATTTTCTTTATCTTATCTGTTCATCCTTTGATGGACATTAGGTTTCTTCCACTTCTTGGCTATTGTGAATAGTGCTGTGATGGACCAGGAGTGTCTATTATTTCTTTGTATATAGCGTATTCTTAAGCTGTTTTACATCTTGACGCTACTTTACTCAGTCTTTCTCTCCCTTGAATGAGATTTAAGGGTGAAATTAGTTCTTTATACATATAAATACTTACTGGACTCATGGGACTTTAGAAAGGAATCCCGAGAGATTGCCTAGTTCCAGTCCATTGCCCTCCTCTTGGCTTGGCTTATATTAAAAATTCCTGCAAGAGGATGTTGATTTTTTTCTAAAAATTATGTATATTATTTTTTGGCCAGAAATTTCTTCCTAAGTCTTCTCTTGCATGAATCTGTATTATCTTCTCCTGGACATAATTGCTTTCAATCCCATCTGGGTGCCATCTCTAGGAACTCACTTGAAGTCTAGTCCCTGTTCTTTGCCCGTTTTTTTTTTTTCCTCATTTATTCTTAGACATTAACAGTAGTTATTGTTTTCCAGATTTTCCTCTCATTTCTACTTGTTCTTGATAAATATCTGAGATTATTATACAGAGACTGTGATCCTCCATTCTAATAGTACTAGGCCCTTGTACAAGAGCCTTTATGCTGCACTTGTCTGTACTGCCTGGTTTACATGGTGAAATCTGTGTTTTCCTCAAAGAATTAACTGTGCTGCACATGACTTCCTCAAGCATCGTCCTGTCTATCCCATTCTCCAACTTATCTTCAAGCCCAAATTGATAAATTTAATACTTCCATTTTGGAAATTGCAAAAGTTACCAATCCTGAAATTGAAATTTGTGGATTTCCTTTTGATATAATCTGACTATTAAGAACTAGTTTTTTAAATGCAGTTGATAGTATATTCTACTATGACAGTATAATAATTCAAACTGCCTTTCTTCATAAAAATTCCAATGACGTTTCAGGTCCTTCCTGCCAAATAAACTTTACTGTGCTAACACACACACACACACACACACACGCACATACCACTCAAAACCAGAAAGTGGTTTTATGACAAACTTCATCATTCTTCAAAAAATGAAAGACTATTTCTATTAAATCTTAACTATTTCTATGAAAATCTCCCTTGTAAAACTGTTAACTGGTGACTGGAACAGATACTTTTTTTTTCCCTTAAAATAAGGGAATTTAGTCTCTAGGATTTTCTACTTCTAAGTTAAGGTATTATGAAATATACCTGAGATAAGCAAACTGTCGGCAAATAGGAATTTAAAAACTATTAAATATAGACTTTATTGATTACTTAATCTGTTAGAAGAGCAAAGTGTATATCACAATTATCATTGCATGTGAGGTAGGACTCTAAAGCAGTAAGACTGGTTTACAAACCATGTAGGAAATCTGTTTTCATTATCGACATACCAAAGTGAGATGCTAGAACTCATACTGAGCACAACAGGGGACATTGCTTTCCTCCTGACACTCCATTCATCTGACCTTTCACCCTTTACAAATGACAAGAGCACCATTCTTCACTTACACCTCTTGCAGGTCCTACCAAAACATTATAAGGTAGTCTAGATAACAGTATATACCTGCCAAAAAATTCCTCAGAGTTCAAATTTGTTGCGGTCATTATTCCTCTATAGTGAGAATTTTCTTGGTTCAAATTCTGGACCTCCTTTAAAAACACATTTCCTTCTAGCTCATCACTAAGTGTTAACAAAAGTTTGAATGAAAGAGTCTCTCAATCCCTAATGTCTAAAAAGATGCACCACTCATTTTATTTCCCTAAATTTCAGAAGATTCTGCAGACAATGTAAATAAAGATATATTCTTGGTTTCCTGATTTTTGGTGAAGCAAGAGACGGCTGCTGTTATTTGTGCCATCCATGTTTCCTGTTTAAAAAAAATGTATATATATATATAGAGAGAGAGAGGATGTTGACAATTTTTCACATATTTGGACTAATATTTTCCTTTTACTTACTGACTTGCTCTTTAAAACTGAAAACTAATGAAACATTTGCATATTTCCCATTTTCTTTCTAAAATATAATACCATAAAATATCTCTAATCATCCATGAAAGTGCAATGGATTAAATTAGTATGGTATGGAAGTTGGGAAAACAGGAGTAATCAAGGAACCATAATAGTCAATGATGACTAATTAGAAAAATGAGCACCGAGAATATTGGAAGTTTCAATTTCTTGAATTTCCATTTTGTATGGAAATAGTTCTTAACAAGTGGTGTAATTTGAAAAACAATATAAATAGTTTGAAAGTTCAATTTCTTGAATTTCCATTTTGTATGGAAATAGTGGCATAATTTGAAAAACAGACTGAGGAGCTGACCCAGGAAATTGAGTTATTGAGAGTAATTCAATACTTGCATTAATTGTCGGGCCATGTTGCTGCTATGATGTAAACCTTTCTGGAGAAAGACAAAAATGGAAACTTCTAAGATAGAGAAACCAGAGTCAGGCAACTGCTCTTCCCCTCCATAGCTGTATCAACACTGGCATATTTTCTTTTTTTTAAACACTGGCATATTTTCAAAGGTGGTTCATTACTGCCCGCAGCCCCTCATTTAAGCTGACATCACATTATTTGCATACCAACACTTTGAAAACTGATTGGAACTCCTTAAAAGTCAATCATGCAATCCAAAAGCACTTCTTTCCCCCATTGTTTCATATAAGCTGCAGAACTCAGAGGCAGCACTTGAGCTTCTGGTCCAGGAGAAAATGAAGGTGGCTGTGCCAGCTGTGAGAATGTAGGGAAATGGTCAACTCCTGAGATTTCTCAGCATGATACGGACTAGATGTCTACATCCTTCCTCTCTTAACTTCTGCCCTTCCCAGAGCCAGGGAAGGAAATACACAAAATTTCCCATTTCCCATTACTTAAGAGGGTTGGAGTGAGATTTTTCCTTATGTCAAGTCTGAAGAATCAAACCCTATAGAACCGAAATAGATACTTTGATGTTTTCCGTTTGGGCTTGTAATAAGAACGCTACTCTACGCTGTCAAGACCTGTTTCCATGTTGTACAAGGAAAGCATTTCTCAGCCTGAACTCTAGAAAAAGATTACAAAGACAAATCACTTAATACGAAATCCAAACAGTTTCTCAGTACAAGAACCTAGAGTATTTGTTTTTTTTTTTTTAAAGATTTTATTTATTTATTTGAGAGAAAGAGAGAGAGAGCATGGAGGGGGGAGGGTCAGAGGGAGAAGCAGACTCCCTGCTGAGCAGGGAGCCCGATGCGGGACTCGATCCCGGGACTCCAGGATCATGACCTGAGCCGAAGGCAGTCGCTTAACCAACTGAGCCAACCAGGTGCCCTAGAGTATTTGTTTTTAATGAATGTGGGAGGTTTATGTAGATTACAAAAAAAAAAAAAAAAAAAAATCGGATTCCAAGATCAAGACTTCTACTATGTCCAAATAGAGCCCACTTAAATATGAAAACCCTTTTTTCCTTACCTAACAACAAGTGGGGCTTGATGAAATGCAGTTATGGCTTACCTGATGGAAAATGGGCAACTTCTAGAAGAAATCTAGCATGTTAGGTGGATAGTATGTATATAAAATATAGACAATAAAAATATGGAAAAGAATATTGTTTCTTTGACTTCCACCACTCCTTTTTAAAATGTTACTTTTGAATTTAAAGTGAAATCACAGCAAAACAAGGGTTATAAACAAATTAAGATGTAGCAAAAATACCAAATCTGAGCGCTTCACAACAGGCCAAAAAATTGACTCAAAATTCAGCCTCTACCAAACTATGTGAAATGTGAAACAAACAAAAAGAAGTGTTGGTATGGTTTGTGCACTTGAAAAAGAAGCAGTCTGTTCTGTCATTTCCTAGCTGGTCTCGTAAAGAAACTATAGGAGATACCGGCAAAGCA